GCTTCAAGACATATCTGCATAGGTTCGGGAGATGCCCGTCCTTAACGTGGAGCATGTCGTCGACGAAATGTGTCGAGAGGAGGGCATTTGGAATGCCGTCAGCAGGGCTGTCGCTCAAATACTGTTGGAGCTGCAGCGTAAATTGAGAGGGAAGCTGCGGTCTAGCAACGCCAGCTAGTGCCTCCCCCCCCCCCAAGTAGTCACTTCACCGTGGTCCCTGGGGGGATCCAGACAGAGGTAAGGAAAGGGTTTTAATGGAGCTGCACTAGGCAACTAGTGGATACCACACCGTGCCAACTTTCACCACAGGCCAGGCTTTTGAAGCTTTCCTAAACCTTACCATAAAAAAGACCCAGGCCTATTCTGCGTGGTAAGAGATGTGAGGTGACTTGCTGTTGTGATGAAGTAACATGTTACTTCAACCTTAGACATGATCTTTGAAGATCACTAGATTAGACTTAAAGTTTGCAAAATTTGGAGAAGTTCTCAGAAGTTTTTGATGTTCGAAGAATTTCTCTGAATATCACAAAACAACTCTGAAGTGCGGTGAACTTCTTTAGAGATTACAATACCTCCTTGAAGATCCCAGAACTACTGCTTATGAGTTTTGACGAGTTCCTATGCACACACTGAGATTATTTTACGGAAATCTGTGAAATATTATCGAAATCTGAACAGCTGAACGTTCGGTAAACAGTTTGGTGATTTTTCACAGATTTTCTGTGATTTTTCACAGATATTCGTTGAAAAATTACAGGAAAACTGTGAAAAATCACTGAACTATTTACCGAACGTTCAGCTGTTGAGATTTCGGTGAAATTTCACTGATTTCGGTAAAATAATCTTACTGTGCAGTTTTGGAATGATCTGCTAACTTCAGGGAAAGTTCTCTGATCATAAAAGAAAGTTCCCTGAACTTCAAGCGAAGATCTCTGAAGTCCAGGCAAAGTTCTCTGAAGTCCAGTCGAAGTTCTCTGAACTTTACAAAAAATCTATGAACTTCTGGTGAAATTCTCTGAACTTCTGGTGGAATACTTTAAAGTTAAAGGGAAGTTTACGGAACATCAAACGAAAAGTTCACCGAGTGCATAATCTCCGTACAAATATCCACAGAACTTCCAACAACAAATTTACAGAACTTCACTGAAGCTCGGAGTACTTAAAAATCCCTAAGATTCACAGAACTTCATCAAAGTTCCCTGAAGTTCGACGAAAAGTTCAGAGAACACCCGAAAGGAAGTAAAGAGACCAGAGGTTCAGAGAGAAATTCAGAGATCTTCCGACGAGAAATTCAGGGAACTTCCGACGAGAATCTCAGAGAACTTCTGACGAGAAGTTCAAAGATTTTCCGAAGAGAAGAAGTTTCGAGAAGTTCACAGATCTTCATTTAAGTTCTATGAAATTCCGAGAAGTTCCGAGAAGTTCACAGATGTTCATTAAAGTTCTATGAACTTCAGAAGAGAGGTTCATGGAGCTTCTGACAAGAGGTTCTGATGTTCAGAAGGTGTTCATAGTACGTCTGACGAGAATTTCAGAGAACTTCCGAGAAGAAGTTGACAAAACGTCAGATGAGAAGTTCAAAGAACTTCCGGCAAGAAGTCCAGAGGAATTCCGAGAAGTTCACAGAACTGTCTAGGAGAGGTTCAGAGAACTTCCAATGAGATGAACAAAGAATTTCGGGCGAGAAGTTCAAAGATCTTCCGAGGAGAAGTTCAAAGCTTCCGAAAAAAACAAATCAGCGAACATCCGACGAAAAGTTCAGAGAACTTCCGATGAGAATGATATTCTGAGAACAACTGACAATAAATTCCAAGAACTTCCTATTAGAAAATCTCAGTACGTCCGACGAGAAGTTCATCCAGAAGAGTAGCATAATCAGAAGCATAATCCATCCCGAATAGGCAACATTTTTTTTTTTTGTGAATTATCCTCGATGGAGTTTACCACTATAAGTGTTCTAGATACACTTCCACAGTTTTAATTTAGAGCTTTCTAAGCCTGTACCATTTCTGCATTAGTATAATTCTGTGGCAAGTGCAATCATACTCTATGCCCAGTGAAGTCCATAAATGTCCAAACCCGCAAAAATTGCTAGACCAGACCGGGAATCGAACTCAGCCACCTTCAGCATTGTCTTACTTTGTAGCTGCGCCTTTGCCGACTGAATTAAAGGAGGCAGTGATGCAAAATATCATGACACTCACTCGACACTCGTCAGCGCATCAACCGACTATCGCTGACAGAATGTTTTGTCACGCAGTGAGAGGTAGAGCCATGACAAACAACAATCACCAATAATGGTCGCTGCTCACAGGCAAAACGTAACACTCGCTGCAGATGATGAAAAGCACAACGAAAACAGTGAAGACTTCTGCAGTACGATGATGAGAAAAAGCGAAACGACAGAAGAAAATGAAAACAATGCCTACGCATTCCAAGTTCGTCTCGGCAGGCGCGACTGTGTGAGTTACAAAAAAAGCTGGCAAAATTAAACGGAAGCTGTTGGGCTCACTCACCAACACACTCACATAAGCAAGCAAAGCAGCAACTGCTTCAAAATGAGCACAGCTGAGTGTCGTGATTGTCGGGAATGACCTGATCGGTGATGAATCACCACCGCTGACGACATTCACTAGTTGCTTTTTACTTCTTCCGTCAATTTGATGGATGGTCATGGAGAGTGCTTCGACAAGCACATTGATAGAAATGTACCAAGCGTTACTACCATCAGCTGTTTGACGATCGTGATTGTGATAGGTCGCAACTCTGAAGGGAGGCTTCTTAATCGTGGATATCAACGTTGAAAATTTGGATAAACGTAATTTGAACATGATTTAGGCCGTATGGCCAATTACTAGTGTCATAACAAGCACACTCGCCCTAGAATAATTATTTAGAACCAAATTTCCATCACTTTTCAAAATTCTGAATTATTTTTTTTTTTTTTTCCTTTGGTTTGTTTTTTCTGTCGATCTTGTTTTCCGTGCTGAGCACCAATGCTACCGACGTGCCAGGAAGGCAGCTCTCACACCTGTACCCTACCTATCGACCCATCAACTCATGAACCGGGGACCAACGGCTTTACTTCCCATCTGAAGGAAGGCGTGATCAGAGATGTTATGCCTCAGAACATCCCGGCGGCGCCGACTGGGATTGAACCCAGGCCTGCTGGGGTGAGAGGTAATCACGCTTACCACTACACCACCGGCGCCGTTAAAATTCTGAACTATGAATAAAATCTTTTCTTTTTCTGAACTTTGAATGAACTCAAATGTATGTAGCGGTGCCGGTGGTGTAGCGGTAAGCATGACTGCCTCTCACTCCAAAGGGCCGTTGATCCCGGTTCATGAGTTGAAGAGTCGATAAGTATGGTCCAGGTGTGGGAGCTGCCTTCCTGGCGTCGGTAGCATTGGTGCTCAGCACGGAAAACAAGATCGACGGAAAACAAATCAAGGAAAAAAATGTCGAATGTGTAGAACCTAGTAGTTTTACGTAGATCCGGGATTAGTCCATTATAAAAGATTCTTGTCAGTCGGATACAGATTTCAAAAAATTAAAATACAGACTGAAGTTGGAAAAAATGTGGCGGGGTCACCACAGCCACGGTCCTACCAAAAAGTTTCTACTCAGCAACTTTTACGCAAAATTCATTCCATTGACATTTGATCTATGAACGGATCTAGAAGGTTACAGGGGGAGGTTCAATGAGTCTTATCCATAATTAATTTTTTGTAAGTTTACGAATCTTGTAAGCTCCAAAATTTCAACCAGCTACTGGATTAAGATAATGTTTAAAAAATAGAGATCTCGAATGATTTCTTATCTAAAATCTAGATTTTAATAATCTTATAAGTAAGGGAGTAGGTTTTCACTTTAACAAAATATACCGAACACTACTAGAGATCTCTTAAAATTTTAAATAACTGTTTTCTATTCCGGGCGGCACTTCAATCCACATAGACCGACTTCTATTCATTCCATTCATTAAAAAAAAACACTCACCTTGAAACAAAACAGCTCCGACCCCGGGTCAGCCTCATTCACCGACACTCTAGGGATCATCCGTAAACACACGCACACACACAGCCATACGAATCGTAATGGCATAGAAATAAAGAAATAAACACCACGTCGCTACGGTTCTGGTGTCGCAGGGGCCGCACCTCTTGCATCCACCCCATTAACTACGAACACATAATCCTCGTAACGACTACCTTGTGACTGCTGCTAGGTACAAGTTGTATTAAGCAAACAGCAGAGGTATCATCACCGGCAGCCAGCCCGCCAGCCACCCACCCACTTCGGTCGCATTCCAGAGCTCACTTGCTATCCTTTCGCACCAGTCCACTCGCATGTGGTGTACTACTCTAAAAAGAAAAGGTAACCTCTCCCTCTGCTATCTCTTGGCTGTGCCACCGCCGCCGCCGCCGTAGTCGCACATACGTGAATGCGAAAGGGGCACCAGAGCCAGCTAGGTTAGTGTCAGTTGGTATAAAAATGTAATTTAATGCTCCCAATGGTCATGTTTCACCACCACCTTTCCTGACCCCGCATTTCGGGACCGCACCGCAGGAATGCTCCGGCTGGGCCTCCTTTTGGGGCTCTCGTACGGATGAACATAGTACGTATCTTCGTTGGATTTTTCCCGCACCGACTTTATCTTTGAGAACGATCACACACATCCGTACTCACGGGAATCATGATAGTCACATCATGTATCACACAATTCCATTAGGTGGATGAGCCCGGGATGCCTTCCTTCGGGCAGGTTGCTGTCTAATAGAGATATTGTGCGGGAGAAACTGGTGACGACGACGACGGTGACTGTTTTAACGATACCACTGCTCAGATTGTGAAAAAAAAAACTCGCTTCCAATCCTTTCCAGAGTGTTTGGGAACCCGCCTAATTTATGAGTACTCTCACAGCAGCGCGATCCCCCGACGATTGTTCTGACTTTTCACGATTGATTAAAATGCCATTCCTTCTTCTCTTCTTGCAGATCCGGCTGAGCGACATCTACCACCTGGCCCGGTCGGTGATGAGCGGTAAATCGCTCGCCCTGCCCAGCGGTTGGTGGCCACACGAGGCCACCCGACGTCTGGCTGTGCTGTGCGTGGCCACCGTGGCGCTATTGTTCGCTCGATTGCAAATCATGGGCTCGCAGCTGCCGGTCTTCACGAGGTAAGTGCATTAATTATCCCGCGGCAACCGCTACGTGGCAAGTGAAATAAAAAAAAAGCTTCCCTCTCCCAGTCCACGTGAGGATCCACGATGTGGAAGATTTGAACGGTGCATTTATCACTACGTAGAGCTGTGTGACGGTTACGGCGTGTATCTGGCAGGATCCAATAGACCTTGGTCCGCAGAGTGGCAGCAACATGCTGAACTGGATTATAACAGGCAGTCACGTGTGATTTGATTAATTACACGAAATATGCACGGCGGATCAGACCTGAACGGGATTTGGCCCGGTTGAGGAGGATTTCAGACTCTGCATGTCGGGTTGATTACTGAGAAAATTGTGTCCGAAAATTTCGGAGGATGTTTTGTTCATCAGTTCACTTGGCTCCATGGAATATTAGGATATATGAGCCAGTTTTTGGCCCTAGTGGCTCCCTAATTGTCCCTATCTTTAATTTCAATTTTATTAATTTTACACCAAATTCAATTCAATGCAATGCTAGAACATAGATTTTACTGTGCCAGGGTGGGTTGCTATTATATCTATTATTATTTTACACTTAAAATCCATGAAACTCTTAACAGGATTTTCTTGGAATACCCTTCCAAGTTCCCTTGGAAAACTTTTTTGAATTTTACTTGAGTCTCCTTTTAACTATCCTTAGAATTCGCATGGAATTCTCATAAGAATTATCTCCAGAAATTGCTTGATATTCTCCAAAAAAAAAACTTTTTCTCCAGAATTTCTGCAATACTATCATCAGTCAGTCTCTGTCTGTCTGTCTGTCTGTCTGTCTGTCTGTCTGTCTGTCTGTCTGTCTGTCTGTCTGTCTGTCTGTCTGTCTGTCTGTCTGTCTGTCTGTCTGTCTGTCTGTCTGTCTGTCTGTCTGTCTGTCTGTCTGTCTGTCTGTCTGTCTGTCTGTTCTGTTCTGTTCTGTTCTGTTCTGTTCTGTTCTGTTCTGTTCTGTTCTGTTCTGTTCTGTTCTGTTCTGTTCTGTTCTGTTCTGTTCTGTTCTGTTCTGTTCTGTTCTGTTCTGTTCTGTTCTGTTCTGTTCTGTTCTGTTCTGTTCTGTTCTGTTCTGTTCTGTTCTGTTCTGTTCTGTTCTGTTCTGTTCTGTTCTGTTCTGTTCTGTTCTGTTCTGTTCTGTTCTGTTCTGTTCTGTTCTGTTCTGTTCTGTTCTGTTCTGTTCTGTTCTGTTCTGTTCTGTTCTGTTCTGTTCTGTTCTGTTCTGTTCTGTTCTGTTCTGTTCTGTTCTGTTCTGTTCTGTTCTGTTCTGTTCTGTTCTGTTCTGTTCTGTTCTGTTCTGTTCTGTTCTGTTCTGTTCTGTTCTGTTCTGTTCTGTTCTGTTCTGTTCTGTTCTGTTCTGTTCTGTTCTGTTCTGTTCTGTTCTGTTCTGTTCTGTTCTGTTCTGTTCTGTTCTGTTCTGTTCTGTTCTGTTCTGTTCTGTTCTGTTCTGTTCTGTTCTGTTCTGTTCTGTTCTGTTCTGTTCTGTTCTGTTCTGTTCTGTTCTGTTCTGTTCTGTTCTGTTCTGTTCTGTTCTGTTCTGTTCTGTTCTGTTCTGTTCTGTTCTGTTCTGTTCTGTTCTGTTCTGTTCTGTTCTGTTCTGTTCTGTTCTGTTCTGTTCTGTTCTGTTCTGTTCTGTTCTGTTCTGTTCTGTTCTGTTCTGTTCTGTTCTGTTCTGTTCTGTTCTGTTCTGTTCTGTTCTGTTCTGTTCTGTTCTGTTCTGTTCTGTTCTGTTCTGTTCTGTTCTGTTCTGTTCTGTTCTGTTCTGTTCTGTTCTGTTCTGTTCTGTTCTGTTCTGTTCTGTTCTGTTCTGTTCTGTTCTGTTCTGTTCTGTTCTGTTCTGTTCTGTTCTGTTCTGTTCTGTTCTGTTCTGTTCTGTTCTGTTCTGTTCTGTTCTGTTCTGTTCTGTTCTGTTCTGTTCTGTTCTGTTCTGTTCTGTTCTGTTCTGTTCTGTTCTGTTCTGTTCTGTTCTGTTCTGTTCTGTTCTGTTCTGTTTGTTCTGTTCTGTTCTGTTCTGTTCTGTTCTGTTCTGTTCTGTTCTGTTCTGTTCTGTTCTGTTCTGTTCTGTTCTGTTCTGTTCTGTTCTGTTCTGTTCTGTTCTGTTCTGTTCTGTTCTGTTCTGTTCTGTTCTGTTCTGTTCTGTTCTGTTCTGTTCTGTTCTGTTCTGTTCTGTTCTGTTCTGTTCTGTTCTGTTCTGTTCTGTTCTGTTCTGTTCTGTTCTGTTCTGTTCTGTTCTGTTCTGTTCTGTTCTGTTCTGTTCTGTTCTGTTCTGTTCTGTTCTGTTCTGTTCTGTTCTGTTCTGTTCTGTTCTGTTCTGTTCTGTTCTGTTCTGTTCTGTTCTGTTCTGTTCTGTTCTGTTCTGTTCTGTTCTGTTCTGTTCTGTTCTGTTCTGTTCTGTTCTGTTCTGTTCTGTTCTGTTCTGTTCTGTTCTGTTCTGTTCTGTTCTGTTCTGTTCTGTTCTGTTCTGTTCTGTTCTGTTCTGTTCTGTTCTGTTCTGTTCTGTTCTGTTCTGTTCTGTTCTGTTCTGTTCTGTTCTGTTCTGTTCTGTTCTGTTCTGTTCTGTTCTGTTCTGTTCTGTTCTGTTCTGTTCTGTTCTGTTCTGTTCTGTTCTGTTCTGTTCTGTTCTGTTCTGTTCTGTTCTGTTCTGTTCTGTTCTGTTCTGTTCTGTTCTGTTCTGTTCTGTTCTGTTCTGTTCTGTTCTGTTCTGTTCTGTTCTGTTCTGTTCTGTTCTGTTCTGTTCTGTTCTGTTCTGTTCTGTTCTGTTCTGTTCTGTTCTGTTCTGTTCTGTTCTGTTCTGTTCTGTTCTGTTCTGTTCTGTTCTGTTCTGTTCTGTTCTGTTCTGTTCTGTTCTGTTCTGTTCTGTTCTGTTCTGTTCTGTTCTGTTCTGTTCTGTTCTGTTCTGTTCTGTTCTGTTCTGTTCTGTTCTGTTCTGTTCTGTTCTGTTCTGTTCTGTTCTGTTCTGTTCTGTTCTGTTCTGTTCTGTTCTGTTCTGTTCTGTTCTGTTCTGTTCTGTTCTGTTCTGTTCTGTTCTGTTCTGTTCTGTTCTGTTCTGTTCTGTTCTGTTCTGTTCTGTTCTGTTCTGTTCTGTTCTGTTCTGTTCTGTTCTGTTCTGTTCTGTTCTGTTCTGTTCTGTTCTGTTCTGTTCTGTTCTGTTCTGTTCTGTTCTGTTCTGTTCTGTTCTGTTCTGTTCTGTTCTGTTCTGTTCTGTTCTGTTCTGTTCTGTTCTGTTCTGTTCTGTTCTGTTCTGTTCTGTTCTGTTCTGTTCTGTTCTGTTCTGTTCTGTTCTGTTCTGTTCTGTTCTGTTCTGTTCTGTTCTGTTCTGTTCTGTTCTGTTCTGTTCTGTTCTGTTCTGTTCTGTTCTGTTCTGTTCTGTTCTGTTCTGTTCTGTTCTGTTCTGTTCTGTTCTGTTCTGTTCTGTTCTGTTCTGTTCTGTTCTGTTCTGTTCTGTTCTGTTCTGTTCTGTTCTGTTCTGTTCTGTTCTGTTCTGTTCTGTTCTGTTCTGTTCTGTTCTGTTCTGTTCTGTTCTGTTCTGTTCTGTTCTGTTCTGTTCTGTTCTGTTCTGTTCTGTTCTGTTCTGTTCTGTTCTGTTCTGTTCTGTTCTGTTCTGTTCTGTCTGTTCTGTCTGTTCTGTCTGTTCTGTCTGTTCTGTCTGTTCTGTCTGTTCTGTCTGTTCTGTCTGTTCTGTCTGTTCTGTCTGTTCTGTCTGTTCTGTCTGTTCTGTCTGTTCTGTCTGTTCTGTCTGTTCTGTCTGTTCTGTCTGTTCTGTCTGTTCTGTCTGTTCTGTCTGTTCTGTCTGTTCTGTCTGTTCTGTCTGTTCTGTCTGTTCTGTCTGTTCTGTCTGTTCTGTCTGTTCTGTCTGTTCTGTCTGTTCTGTCTGTTCTGTCTGTTCTGTCTGTTCTGTCTGTTCTGTCTGTTCTGTCTGTTCTGTCTGTTCTGTCTGTTCTGTCTGTTCTGTCTGTTCTGTCTGTTCTGTCTGTTCTGTCTGTTCTGTCTGTTCTGTCTGTTCTGTCTGTTCTGTCTGTTCTGTCTGTTCTGTCTGTTCTGTCTGTTCTGTCTGTTCTGTCTGTTCTGTCTGTTCTGTCTGTTCTGTCTGTTCTGTCTGTTCTGTCTGTTCTGTCTGTTCTGTCTGTTCTGTCTGTTCTGTCTGTTCTGTCTGTTCTGTCTGTTCTGTCTGTTCTGTCTGTTCTGTCTGTTCTGTCTGTTCTGTCTGTTCTGTCTGTTCTGTCTGTTCTGTCTGTTCTGTCTGTTCTGTCTGTTCTGTCTGTTCTGTCTGTTCTGTCTGTTCTGTCTGTTCTGTCTGTTCTGTCTGTTCTGTCTGTTCTGTCTGTTCTGTCTGTTCTGTCTGTTCTGTCTGTTCTGTCTGTTCTGTCTGTTCTGTCTGTTCTGTCTGTTCTGTCTGTTCTGTCTGTTCTGTCTGTTCTGTCTGTTCTGTCTGTTCTGTCTGTTCTGTCTGTTCTGTCTGTTCTGTCTGTTCTGTCTGTTCTGTCTGTTCTGTCTGTTCTGTCTGTTCTGTCTGTTCTGTCTGTTCTGTCTGTTCTGTCTGTTCTGTCTGTTCTGTCTGTTCTGTCTGTTCTGTCTGTTCTGTCTGTTCTGTCTGTTCTGTCTGTTCTGTCTGTTCTGTCTGTTCTGTCTGTTCTGTCTGTTCTGTCTGTTCTGTCTGTTCTGTCTGTTCTGTCTGTTCTGTCTGTTCTGTCTGTTCTGTCTGTTCTGTCTGTTCTGTCTGTTCTGTCTGTTCTGTCTGTTCTGTCTGTTCTGTCTGTTCTGTCTGTTCTGTCTGTTCTGTCTGTTCTGTCTGTTCTGTCTGTTCTGTCTGTTCTGTCTGTTCTGTCTGTTCTGTCTGTTCTGTCTGTCCTGTCTTTCTGTCTGTCTGTCTGTCTGTCTGTCTGTCTGTCTGTCTTAGAGATTGTCTTATAGATTCCGAAACTACTGAACCGATCGGCGTGAACATTTGTAAGCAGGGATTTTTGGGGTAGGCAAAGGTTCTTATGATGGTTCG